CGAATATCATACTTGTTCGAAGCAAAAATGCCTGGCGCCTGCGCTACAAGCGCCCAAAGTAGTGAGGAGCGATGCCGCCCAAGTTCGTTATTAATTGCCCTTAAATTCTTTGTACTGTTAACTATACGCAAGCATGTTAGATGTTAGGAATCTTCCTAGCTATCTTACTGCAAACGGCAAAAGAACAAACTCGCCAGGGAGTCGATCCCCTGACCTCTTTTTCGTGAGCCTCGACCACAGCCCCTGCGCTTTTCTGCTTCATAATTCCTTTCAGAGAAGAGTTCAGCAGATAAGGAACACATATTTGAGCTCAGCGTCCCAAGGCGCGTATACACATATACATCTCATTTCAAATGGCCGGGTTGACCAAATGACCTTTCCTGGTAAGTACAGTGTGCACCTTCTATTGATTTCTTCCAATAGCAGCAGCGTTGGATTGTTGCCGATGCGACTGATTCTCGTCGGTTGGAGTTCCTACTGGCAGGCTGGCAAGTGACCTGTTCGCAACAAATGTGGGAGGGAAGCACACTTCGATGTAGATCAGAGAATTTCCTGTCGATGACTATAGGAAATGGTGCAACATAACGAAAGTTCAGTAGAAAAATTCCCTCCGAGCGACGCTACCCCTGATACAAAATAATAGAGAGGCATGAAAAATGAATAAACATCTTTCCTACCGAAGTTTCGTACATCTTCTTTTTATCGACGTCTGTTTCGCTCTCATACTTTTTCTGAAACATTTTTGCTATATAGCATTTATGCCTATCCAGATACAAGGGCTGGGCTCATTCAACGATTGGCAATACTACTACTTAGCCATAACGCCTTCATGGAAATTGAACACTCGAAAAAGAGATCAACTACTTGAAGCCCCAGCAATGATTATGATAACGAGTTTATTGATAACCGTTTTACTTTTAGATTAAATGTCTGATAAAAACTGGGCTTGGTATCGCTGACAACAAGCAAGCCGACTATTATAATAGACCTAATCTAACATTAACAAGTGAGAAAATACGCATTGAAATCGCCTTATGAGGCGCGACTGATGCATTCAATGTAAAATGCGTATCGCTTTCAAAACATTAAAGACAAACAATGATGTGCAATAGTCCAAAAATCAGGTGCCTTGGAAAAACAGCTTTCATGAAACGTACATGAAAAATGGAAAAATGAAATGGACCCACTCTGAAGTTCTCTAAAGCGGCTACTACATCCTCGACTATTTTCTCGACCGAAGGGGCTTCCTTATTAGACTCGAGATACTTCGCTAGCAAATGGCGTTGACGGGCTCTAAAAAGATGCACTTATGGTTAGTGTGGGATACGATAGGAAGAACAATTTCCAAAAATCTATAATCATGTTCAAGAAATAAGATTTTTTCAAGAAATGGCGCGTCAAAAGTTTGGAAACTTTTTGTTTCCCTCATCATTATGATTCCTACTCTTCAATGTTTACTTGTTTCTGTTAATTTTAGTTCAACCATTGAGTAATGTGTAATTTCAAAATGAATTCATATGCAAAGGAAGCAGTTTTTCCAGGGAGTCCTTTTTAACCCATTGCGGACCGCCGTTATAATTGCACCTCCGTAGGTTTTTGTCATCTGTTTAATCAGTGGCCGATGACCTATCAAAAATTTAACCAGTATGCCAATAAGTGATATATCCTGTGTCCAAAAAAGTAAACTGTGAGTTTGTAACTTAACAAAATGCTAAAAAATCAAAGATTACTGTCCTTCTCCGCGTGGTGGCGTGCTGCACCATGTGCAGCACGCGGTCGCAATGGGTTAACATTGGCAATCCGGAATGCGCAAAATAGAAATTGTTTAGTAGTAGTTCAGTCTCTACGAAAGCAATATTATCGAATGTTTTTAGTGTTTTTGGAGCCGAGTAAGCATAAGACGAATGATCATTCACAAAAAAGTATTCTCACAAAAAAATTGGGTCCTCCTCAAATACTTCGAAGGGTGGTTGGCACGCCCCGTACCCCCGATATGCCCAACTAAGAGACGACTTTTCTGGCTTGAACCCAATGTATGAAAAGCACAACCCAACATCGGCCACGACCTGGTGAATATCACGGACGATATCCCAACAAGAAGCCATTTAGGACTTCAATAGCAGGATGGCCCAAGTGGCTTTCGTACACTAACGGCTAACATAGACGAAGGCGAGAGGTAAACCATTGCCCGGTAGCGCGAGCAGCAGCTTCTTTTTCTAAATGATGTTGTGAATCCTGTGAAGCGCTATGTCAGATGGGAACCTCATTTTGAGTATGAAGATTCCAACAGCCAGAAATAGTGGAAGTATTGCCATGGATGGAGATGTGTCCGACCATTCGGCGATTCCCCAGTTCTATGTATCCAGCGAAATGTGTGTTGGGCTAAAACAAGGATAGTCTCTAGAATTACATGCTGCTTTTCTTTTATAGTCAGAACTGGTCGAAAAAGATGAGTTTTCTGTTGCGGAAATGGTCCAATGTAAGCCTACCTCCTCACTGCCGCCTTCCTAAACCCAGGAAAAGAAGATGTTATGGAGCGCCAAGTCTAGATCTAAAG